ACACTGCTCCAGTGAAGACAAAACAAACAACTCCAAGGTTTCTGATGGAGTTGTTGACATTCTGTTAGTCAAAACATGTAACAAAAGTTCTGCCAGCTCCATGATGTCTTCATGGTTGCAGCTGTTTGAGTGAAATGGTGCTGTCAGTGCTGCACAAGGCAGGGAGAACCTCAATAAAAATGGGGCATGCACTGAGCTCCCTACACCAAAAAGCCACAGATGCAAACTGTTCTCTTGGCCACCAGCAAAACACAGCTCATCCTCATCATTTTCCACATTAAATACAAAACTGTACCACTGGTGGTTACTGTGAAGAGCCTCATGCCAGAAACATAAACTGGGTTGTTTCCCAGTTCCATGCTTGCTTAACAGTGTGAGTGATACAGAAATCCTTTTGATCACATTTAGCAAATTTCAGTGGCGCTTCTCAAAAATATTTTAGGTGTCAGCAACTGTTTATAAGGAAGATGATTTGATATTAACACACTGAAGAAATACACTTTTTAATATGAGTATTTTAGGTTCTATACTAAGCACTTAGACAGATGTCCTAAATTTTTTGTAGTCTCTTTTTTTGCCTCAAATCAATAATATTTCAGGGTTATTGCGGCAAAGTCTATCCTTTACCATTTCCTTCTACAAACTGATAGTAGAACCAATGCTGGCAATCAGAAAATCTAGACAAACGTAGTAAGAGATATTTACTTTGGCCTGTAGAATAATCTTTAAAATTAGACAGCATGTGACCTGATGTTAGTCCATTTACTATGTAGCTTTTATAGTAAACAAATAAGAGTGTCAGAGTTCATATGAAAAGAGCTTATAAGAAACAACTGCCATAAATACTAATGTAATTCCATGGGAACATAAACTACCAAAATTATTGACAGTGGGTAGGTGAAGAAATTATGGTATGTCTTCTGACACACTAGTGCACTTTAGATGGCAGATGAGAAAAGCAGTCTAACATCAAAACAACTCTGGTCTGAAGAAAATAACAAAGTACTCAAGAACAACTGTTGTACTTACTCCCATAAAACACCTATCAAGGAGCCATGTCCCTAAAAACAGACAGCAAAATTATCCTAAAAGAGGTATCTCTATGGAGTTTGTGTTTTTAAATGTAATAATTTAACAAAAACATGTTAACAACTGTGTTCCAAAAACATTCAGTTCCAAACAGCACCTGGTAGATTCCCAAATAAAAACACTAGAAATTTAAAAATATATTCACTGCATATTCTCACACTACAAATTTTGCCATTATTAGGAGAAAAGGAAAAAAAAATTTCACTATTTCAGCCAGAAAAATGACAGAAGTGCAACTTCAGGTTTAGAAACAGGAGAGCTATTGTTGTTAGCACAAATGATAAAAGTTGGATGTTGCTGGATTTTAACCACAGCAATGTCCTTCATTTTTGCCGTCAACATTCCCAGAAGCATTGCAGATTTTTGAATGACTTGGTTATTGGATTCTGCCATGTTGTAGTCTTGTACACAGCACAAAAATATTGTTCAGATTTAAAATCTAATTTAGTTATTTACATAGAAAAGCAAATAAGTTCATATTCACAGCAGCCCAGACATGCTTACAGTAAAGAGTTGAGTTGTGCTAGAGTAGAAAGTACTTAAGCATGAAAAAGAAATTATCCAAGATGGAATTTGGTTTAGGGAATCACTTTCATTCAGATGTAAATACTAGCTATAAGACAGTTTTTAAGCTAAGGCAACAAGAATAAAAGTGTTCTTAAACTTTAATTTAATCATGAATTGCTTTCCATCCCTTCTACTGTTAATTTTTCCTCTACAGCTGCTTCAAAATTCGACAATTACATCAAAATCACAGGACTTTGCATGATGTCCTCCAGCACATCCATTTTTGAGAAGGCTGTGTCATCAGCTATTGACCTGCAGCTCACATTAACTGCAGTATCAACTACTTCTGTAGGGTGACAAGGGCTTAGACAGATAAATTTGTTACTAACACACTGCAGACACAAGGAGTTTAACATAGATACTGTAAAATTCTACTGTAATAAGCCGTGCCACAAAAATTTATGAAAAAGTTTTCCTGCATGTTATAGATATGAGAATGCATCCAAGTTGCAGACTTCTCATATTTAGCCATAAAAATTACAATCAGTGTAACAAAAATACCTACTGATCTCCTTTCAGAGTAACACTGGCATTTTCATTCATGAAAAACCATTCAGAGCTACCCAGTGCAAAGACTATGCCTTGCAAGCCAGAGATGAACTGATATGTAGATTCCTTAGCTGAGAAATTGATTTGAGAATTGTAGTTTCTTTGTTGTATGGGTTTTTCATGTATTTTCTTTATTCACTTTGCTGTAATAGTCAGTAAAAATGTGGTTGAGCTTTGAATATCCAAGGAGTACTTTCACCATCACTGAAGACCAGTTTCCATCAAAAATTTGGGAAGTAAATGTAAGAAATTGCTTTTTTTTGCACCATAAAATTTTATTTTTTATTTTAATTTTGACATTTCTTCTTAGGCTGACATAATTACACAATAAAAATAAATTATTTTGTCTGTTTAGTAAATATAGTCTCAAAAGTAATTAAGTACTCTCAAGTCTGCTATAAAACATTAGAAACTGAAGGGCATAAAATTTCTAGCTTATTCATGTGACAGCTATTTGATGCTAAAATAGAGGGCCAATACATTTTTGAAAGCACAGTACTGAAGCACTGTATTTCACTGCAGCATTAAAAAAAAAGAGTGCCTGATACTGGCTTATAAAATCTGTATGTACTTAGTACATACATAAAAAATTGCCTGATTTACCAAATGCTAAACGGAACAAAGATTTAAACCATCATTTTTTGTGTGTACAATACCACATTTTTGATTATTGAAAACAACTGCTTTGGGTAAGTAATAGGTCATTAAAGGGTTAAAGTACAAAAACATCTGGCTACCAGAAGGGACAGCAATTTTTAAGATGCGAAATATACAAAAGGTTGTATTTAAAAATTTCTGCTTTTCTACTTTAAGAACTGAAATTGTGCAGAAGAATATTATTTCAGACTAATATGGAAAAAATATTATTTCTTAAACCACAAAGGGACAGTTTCACATAATGTCATGAACGGAACTTTAGCCTTCAGTAAAGAGGAAACAAAATTCACTTTGTAATATGAACCTCTATCAAAGGTGGAAGAGAGACAAATATTACATGCTATCTAGACTGCCATGCCAAGAGGGTAAACTTAAGAAAGAATTTCCTGGCTTTGGAATCCCTAAGTCTACTCAGTAAGAATTTTTTGTGAGTGTGTATGTGTGCATGGTTTGACGTCTCTTCTGTTCTTCCACTCCTTTTAGAAAATTTTATAAAAGGATATAAAACTGATCAAAACCCAGTCACATGGGCAAAGGCAAATATACTAAGCACTGAACATACCTAAAGTTTTAAAGCCAAAATTGTTCACCCAGTAGTAATTTCTGTCCTATGTAGTACAGAAGTCGATTCAATATTTGATGTAATAGTGAGGGAGATCAGACTGCTTGTCCTTAGTTTCCTAACAATATAAAGCAGTAGTGATCCTGTTTTAAGAACACATACTTCAGATTTCTAAGTTACAAGTCAGGAAAAAATGTATAAATACATAAAATGGTACGATTTTTACAAATTTTTTAGGAAAAAGAGAGGACATTATATTTCTGGTATTGCTTCTCAGCTAAGACTCTCAAAGGTCCCTTTATTTACCTACTTTCATGTCACAAAATCATTTAAACTTGGGTAAAACAGTTAGGGTATACATTTATCCATCAGCAATCCATACAGCAGACCTCACTACCACATAAGGTGTTTTGAGAACATGATTTATTGCTTAATAATATATTTTAAAGTGACCTTTCTATGTTTTGGCCATAATTTGTAGGTACCATAAAGTCTGCAAGCTGCTAACATTTTGTTTTGCAATTTTTTAAGTTTCAGCAGACTGAACCAGTTAAAGTATTTTAAATGCCATATTTCCACCTCTGCTCTGATCTAATAAAAAAAATAAATTACAAATGTTGGATCCACTTAAAGTAAGTTTAGTTTATAGTAGCTGTGGCTTGAGCTAAACACTATTTCATGACATCCACACTCTTTGTAGAGAGCAGTTTATTTGTTGATTTTTTTTTCTTGTTCCTGTCATGGCCATTGAGATCAGAACAGATGGATGTGCCTGTTTTGTTTTCTTGACCCTCTGAATGAGGAGATGTGCCAGAAGTTTGCAAAAAGCCAATGCCAGCACTACCATGCACAGCATAATACACAACAAAAGATAAAGAAAACTTTTAACCATGTCAGATTTTTTTTTCTAAGTTTTAAGCAATTTAAGTTCATGGAAAATGAACAGAGAATAAACTCAATCTTTTTCTCATTTCTGTGTCTGATTTTGATGTTCTCAGTGTGTTGTTCTGTTTGAAATAGGATGAACACAAGGTGATTGTCAAGAAGTGCACGGTCCAGAGCACCCACTGGGTCTACAGAACACTTCATCAGACTATTGGAAAAAAAAAAAAAAGAAGTCCTCTTTTGAGATGTCACATCATGGCCTATGAATTATAGCTGAGACACCTACAGTGCTAAAAAATAACAGTGTTTCAGAGAAGAAATAGACTTCCTAAATATGACAGAAGTCTGCAAAACAGAATTGTTTGAATGGTGTTAATGTTGCTACAGTACCCTGGTAGCTTTGGCAAATCTTTTAAGGCACACTAGCAGTGATCCAGCCAGAAGTAGCTGAGAGAAAAATGAAACAAGAACCATCAGAAACAGTTGCATTTCTTTAGACAGCAGAATTCTTAGACAGAAAATTCTTTGATTTGCTCTTTGAGACCATTGTAATGCAAAATTGTGTCTAATTTGTTTAGAATAGTGATATCTGAACAAATACAAATGAGCAATATTCTATTTCCATAGTATTTTACAATCAATATAACACATCTTCTCCAATAGAGAACAAAACAGAATAAATAAATGAACATTAAACATTGCTTTTAAAATTTTCACAGCCACAAAGAAGTGCCGTTCAACACTCTCGATACAGAAGGGTGAGATTCAGATTCTTTAAAGTGCCTAATTGAGGCCATCTAATAAAAGTGTGCTGGCCAAAAGAATAATTCTAGACAACTTATAATACATATATGCTGAACCCAAAACCAAGCTGGGTTTTTATTTGCTTTGAGAAAATTTTGTTTTATCACTTCTTTCTTAAACGATTTTTTCAAACTGAGGGACCTAAAATCACAAATGTGTCTGTACAACAGTGTATAATTATTCTCTATCATAGTAATAGGCAACTTCTGAATGTTTTTTCATTATTAATAATGTTATTAAACATAATTAAAAAACAAGTGTCAGAACAATTCCTGTATAGGGGTAAATAAGCTCATAGCAAAGATTAATGTCACAGGTATTTCATTTCACAGTATTTCAGGAATACAATAAATATAGTCTAAGTGGATTGCAGAAACAAATACAAGAGAATAGCAAAATCTCAGAAAGCCTTTGGTGTGCAAGTCACCTAAATTATCAAAAGAGTTCATTAGAGTTAGTCTTGGTGCTCTTTCATTTGAGTGTTTGGCAATTGTTGAATCATTAAGGGTGCATCACTCCTACAGCAGATGGAATTACTACTGTTCAAAACCAAATAAAAAAAGTGGAATGGAATTTACCACAGAGAAAACTGATGTGGTTTCATAACATATTCTATAGCTTTCCTCCTTCTGCTTGCAGCTTCTTTTCACTAACAGCAACATTAGTAGCATCTTCCTTGGTGCCACTTGTATCCAAAGGAACCATCCCTTTCGTAAGTGCTAGAAATAAGTCACACAAAAAAGGTGATTAAGCATTTTCAGAATCATATATTAAGTCAGACTCAATGATCTTTGAGGCCTTTTCAAACCTATGATTCTTGGATTTGGTTGACTGGCCATTAGTTTTTATTTAAAACATGTATTTCATTATATGATATTATAATTTATTCAGCAAGTAATATATTCAATATTTATAACTGAGAATATAATATTTTCTTTGTTTTCTAGAGAAATTGATTTTAATACTCTATAATACAGGCATAGCCATGAGCTTTCTTATACACAAGAAATGTAGATTCTATTTAAAAAAATTGATTCTTACACTAAGAAATATTTTCCATTTATTTTTCCAGAATTTTTGTTTAAATAAGACAAACCTCTCAAAAAATTTGTGAAGGAATATCTTTACCAAAAAAATGGACTTAAGTCACCAAGTGACACTGAACAGGTGCTCATACAATGTCATACTGTGTATATACCTTCACAGAAGAGTACACATATAATGCTTATTTCTAAAAATATATTGCATCAAAATCCAAACAATATGAATTGACAAAACATCTTTTCATATAATGCTGAAGAAAAAAAAATCAAATACCCAAACACTTAGCAAAAGGCAGAAATTAAGGGAAGGAAAGTGGCTAGCAGCTTATACATATCCTTCTTCTAATGGCCTTCTTTATAGCACAAGCATGGAAGAAAAGTCATCCTACTGAATATCCAGAGTGCAATTTCTAACAATCCAGTAAAGTTGTAGCAATACATAACCAAAATTTATTTAACAAGGAGCAAGACTTCACAGTTTGGTTAGGAGGGGTGAGATGTTTTTCACTTTCAGAAGAATGAAATCATTGTGTTTGGGACATTGGTATAACAGTGAGTTCTAAGTATTCAGCATAAAATTTTCAGAATTGGTTCAAAGCTCTGCTGCTGTATGCTATGTCAGTGGTACCTCCTGTGGACAGTATTCAAAGTAAGGCAAAAAATCATAAAGTTCATTGCTTAACTAATTCAATTTGCATTTTTCTAAGTGATGATGTCAAGTTTCCAGTCATTTCAAGTTCTTATGCTTAAGCAGCCCTAGGTTTTGTTCTAGAAGGGTGTCCACAGCATAGTCATGTTGCAATGTCTTTTTACTTGTAAGTACATTACATTATTTATAAATGCCAATAAAAATAGTCTTAAGAATTTATGAAAAAGTATACATAGAGGGATAAAGACAGGCACCAGCAATACAGTGCAGAAGTTAATTGTTCTGACAATAAAGCCTACATTCAGGACAGCTTGGTTTTATTCAGCTGTGGTATCAGTCCTACTACATACCATGTTGACACAAGAGTGTTGTCCATCACAACTTATGAAGCCCTGGAATATAAATTCCCAACAACAATAGAAAACCTCTAAGACATATGGTTTCTGGGAAACCATCCAGGTTAAAGCCTCAAAGTGATGAAATGTGCAAAGAGAAAGGCAGGACTCAATGCACAAAGTTAATGCAAAGCATGTGTAACCCAAGGGACTTTCGTAATCAAAATTTCAGGAAAATACAGTGGCCGTAAAAACAGTTTCTGAGGATTCTTCTTTAGATAACAACTAGTAGTGACTGGTTGGACCAGCCATTTTGGTCTGATAATAATATGGACTGCAAACCACATCTAGTGAATGTTTCCTTGAATAAATTACTTTCTCATTTCAACTTCTTAATTTCTAAGAAAATGGGTACAGAAATAAAAGCGCGTTCCCTCAACATATTTTAAAATATGTTTATAATGGAAAAGCTGTTATAATTGCAGAAATTATACCAGAAACAAAACACAATGTTGATGTTAATTACTTTCCTTTTAACTGCTTGCTGCATGGGCAAATTTTTGGTAAACATATTTGTATATATATGGAAATAGATTGTTGTTCCCTTATTTATATTCCCATACTATTTGTCCTTCTTTCGTCAACCAATTTTAAACTTAAATCCCACAATCTCCCTCACAAATAAGTTAAATTATAAAAAATGAGTCTGCTCTCCTTCTGGGTACTCTCCACAAGTCATAGGAAACCCACACTGGGAAGGAAGCTTCTAGTATTAGTTATTGAATCTATAGTCTGTCAGGCTTCATGAGTTGAAGAGAGATGGAATGGGGAAATATAAATCACAAAGGCTTGCAAACCGCTCCAAAAGGCAAATGAAGGAAAAAAATTTCCATCCTTCTGTTTCTGAAGAAGGAGACAATTAATCACAGAAAATAGATGATGACATGTATAGGAAGATTTATTAAAAGCTACAGCAGGTTTCGGAGCAAAGATGTCAAATTATACTTCACTGTCAAAGTCTCAAATGATAATTAATTAATACCATTTCTGAAATTTAAAGTTCATTATGTTTTTGTGACTATCATGAGTGAAGTAGCAATTTTTTTATTTGCCACTCACTGAAAAATCTCCTTAATGCTAATACCACAGCAGAATTTTCACTGTCCTCAAGAACTATACCAACAACTTCAAAATACACATTTGACTGGTGGAAATCAGTTTCAGCATAAAGAGACAATCAGTCAAAAACCAAAGTCTGTGGAGTAATCCACATGTTTCAGTGCCATAAGGACTAAGTAGTGAATTGAATCACCACTGTCTTTTGTTAATCATTTAATTTTTTATTTCCAGAAAATTTAGTACTTAGTGCTGGTAAAAAACAGTTGAATCAGAGAATGAACATGCACAACTGTTTCATCAGATTGGTATTCAGATCACATGGATCCTACTTCTCTTAGAACTCCCTAAAATTTATTAAAAAGTTTTAAAGCAACAAAGTCCTAGCTTGTTTAATTCAGGTTAAGCAGCAGAAAGACATTGAAATAGTTTAGGAACACTTATGCTGTATTTTTAAGTTTCAGTAAATTTTTGCAGTGACCAGTTTTGGAATTCTTGGGACTGGAAGGGACTGCTGGAGGCCATTTATCTGAACATTCTGTGAGGCATCGGTTACTTCTTTTCTATACCCAAAACAGGTTCAGCTGTACTTTTATTTGCAAGACTTTGACAGGGATGAGGTTTGGGAAAACAGAAAAATCAGCTTTGAGTCAAGGTAAAGTGTTCCTGCAGTAGAGATGATACAGAGGTATTATCTCCTGTGCTTTATTCCCACTACTGTTATTCAATATGCTCTGCAAAAAGATACTAACCCCAACCCATTGATTCTGAAAGGAAGAGAAACCAATTACCTTTAACCTCATCAGATCAGCTCAAGACTTACTGGTGAGCAGAAATGTACCACAGCACTCATAGAAAGATGCAACATTTCAAAGTGCAATGAAGCCTGAAATAGGCTTCAAGAGAATGCAACTTTCTAAATAGGTTCCCAGTACACAAACTGGCTATACTGAAAATAAATGGAAGATGATACCCTTCTGAAGAAAAGTATTTTGATATTCTTGTACTGATATGCTTAAAAACACCCTTAAAAACCTGGGGTTTAAGTTACTTTTGACACTCATGCAAAGGCGTGCCTACATACCCAATCAAGACCTAATACACCCTATGTTTTATTGAGCATTTCTCAGCTGAATCAGAGATCCCATGACTTCACATGAACACAAATTGTGTATGCACATGGGGGTAGAGAAAAAACAGTTAAAAACACTATTGAAGTAGAATTAGTGAATTCAACTTTCACTGAGGAAATGCTACACAAGCATGGGACTAACTGGCACACATGAAAGATCTTGGAAAGAATCCATGTTTCAGGATATCTCTGTGGTCCCTCAGAAGACCAGAGGGTCTACACAGCTTACAGAGGTATGACTTGTTAAGCAGAGATTCAGAATTCAACAGCAGCTCTTTTCTTTGCAATAGATAAACAAAATATACTTCATGTCCCAGCCAAAAAAACCCAAACAACTGTCAGTGGGATGTAATGAAGTACTTCCTAGGCAAAGACATCCATCCAGCATCTAAAACTAAAACACAGTAGGATACTTAAGATGGTTCCAGCACTTCTGAAAAGCAGCATCTCACTCATCAAGGAAAAAAATTTTTAGAAGAAAACAATGCGTTACCACTTTTTTTTCTGTGATATAATACTTACAACCTGCACTTGAAAGCGGTGAGCTGCACAAAAAGCTGTTTTGAGTTCGCCAACTAGAATGAGCAGCCACTTCTACATCAGAAATTTCAGCATCCATTTTCACATCCTATGGGAACCAGATAAAAATAATTTTATCTGTTACTATCAAGCAGCTGCAAACTTTAACAAAAACTAGTAGCACACAGACAGGCACATGCTGTGATTTCAGACACACTCTGGAAAAGACTGATTTGAATTCTCTGAATTCTCAGTATTGCACTTAGGTTCAAATTAATTTGCTTACGAGTTTTATCCCCACTTCACCACTATAAAATGTCTGCAAAAAACTGCTTTGCCTTGAGAAGAGCACTGGCATCACTGCAAGTCTTTGCCAGTACAGCATGTTGTAAAAATGCTCTTTCCTATTCACATCACATGCACAGCTCAGCATACACCATATCAGCAGGGCAGACATCAGTGAATAATGACTTCCTCATCAATGAATGGTTCATACTAATTCCACAAGTAGTAATAAATATAAATCTAATTTCTCTGCCACTGAGGAAACTTAAAGTTCCTAGATTTCTCATGTCAAAATACTTAAAGGTGCTTTTGAATGTTTTTGTTAAACCATTACATAAAGTCTTAAGTACAATGTTACTATTTATGGCTAAACCCATACAGCATAGCTTTTTGCTGAGGAAAGTCATTTGGTCTATAAGCTAAAAAGGGAAGATAAATTTAAAGATGTCATTTAAACAAAAATCCCTGAAAAATCTCTATTAGCTCTGCAGCAAGTAGTCCCCAGTTACAATACAATCCAAAATGAGATTAAAAGCTTGGCTTGGTATCCAAATTACTCAGTTTCTTGAAATGAGAAGAAGTCATAATGAATAAATGCATCAATTCATAAAACAAACAATATTACTGCTGAATTCTTATCATAAAAAGCCTCAAGGAAATTTCTTAAAACATCTTGCAATTTATCATTTATGTGGATACTTAATTTTACATTGATACATAAGATTTGAAAACTAAACAAAAAAAATTTACATTAACTTAGAGATACAATAAGCTTTTGTTCCATCACTGAAGAAGGATTTACTCCTGTTAAGACTAATGGGAATTATACATATTAATCCCCTTATGTGCTGATGAGAGACTTAATACCTAAAGTGTTCATAGAACAATAACAATTTTTAAAGAATAAAAAACGTTTTTGTCTTTCCATTCTGCTTCCAGAAATGCTTTAAAAGAAGAGTTTTTAAATAAGAAAGGTGCTTCTACCAGTACCTGCAATACAAAATGGCTTTCTTTTTACAGAAATATTAATGTATAGAACGTGCCTTTTGTCATGTGCTTCATGGACAATTACATCTGCTGTGTTTGAGTAGATGGTCAATCATCTGTGGCAGGGAAACTCCCCTAAAATATTTATATCTCTACATGAAAATATTTATCTCTAGTTTTCCTCTGGCTTTCTGCTTTGATTTTGCTGCTGTTGCTATTTTCTTTTAATATGTTATATTTATGAAGTTTTCCCCCAATTTCATCTTCATCTACTATTATTTGGCCCTTTCTTTGTTGAAAAATCAAGACTGTTGTACCTGATGGTATCCTCCCAAGCCTATGGCCTACTTTTGTTACTGGAAATCTTCCATTTTAAAACATACAAATAGAAATCATGATTTTTCTGGACTTCTAAGCAGCAGGTATTTTAAAGTCATCTGACAAGACTACAGAAGAGTAGGAAGATTGAGTAGGGACAAAAGAAATCATAAGAAAGAAAGAAAAAGATCTGCTTTTTTTTCAACTTTGGTTTAATTTTTCCTCCTTAAAATGAACAGACTGGGACGCAAGATTAGATAATGCCTGTCTGAGATCAATGTTGGCAAGCAAGCTGAAACAAGTGTAATATAAGAAAGGCTAGAAAGAAAAACATAACAGAGGAAGAAGATTCATTTCAGAAGTAATTCCATCTAAAATGATCAATGTAAAAATTTTATAAGAAACATGGATTTTCTTATCACCTATTAAGTATCTGTCTACTTTGTATAGCAGGGGCAGTATGTATACAGTGTGAACCAAAAATATCAGAAAGAATCAACTTTGATGTCCTCAAACCTACACTCTTCCAGCAATCAATTTTAGAGACTCCCAACTGACAAACAGTAAAATAAATAAATAAATGGCATTTGAGTTAGTTTCAAAGGAGGGTAAGAAAGGCAAGCATTAAAAAGGTTTTTTTTAGTCTAAGCTAGCCTGATCACTGAAATCAGATTAGCACCCGTCTGTTACTTGGTTTTGAACATTCTGTTCTATTTGCAGCAGCCGTGACAGCAAAGAGTACTGTATGTCATGCAAAAACCCAATTAGGCCTGACTAAATGGAAACCATTAAATGCTCTCAGTTGTCTAAAGAAAGAGAATTGTTTTGGAATCAGCTTTGTACTGGATTCTGATTATTGAGTTCAAATCACACAAGCTCAGTAAGTTCAGTCAGCTTAGTGCAATGTTATGTTCCACCGTCAGCTGATTGCATTCCACTTAGCTTTTCAATGTTTTCCAAATTTCAGTAGCTACTGACTTAGTAATGCTTGTGTGGAGGGAAAAGAAATTCAAAATACTGAAGATTATCACCAGCAACATACTGATTGTGCCTGTTTCCTCCTTTCAATTCTTTCTTACAGAAGAGCAAGATAGCTTTTTCAAGTAACTTAGTACCTTCTCACAACAGCAACTTCCTAAGCTAAAACATTCTGTATTTATTTTACCTTTTCCACTTTTTAAAAGACATGCTTTAAGTATGTCCTCATTTTACAGAAGGAAGACGGTTACATATAAGTTGGGGAACACAAACACCTTTCTATCTTTTTCATAGAGTGTGTGATCCTCAATTTGAGCTCAATTGCTTAGAGACACAGGTTTGATGCATTGCCAAAGAAACTGATTTGACTGAGTCATGTAGCAGAAATACTAGTATGATTCTTCAGGTCAGATCACTTATTTCAAACACTTGCATAAGAAATCATAGTTCTGCTGAAGTAAGCTGCTATTAAAATGACAGTGACAAGACAATGAACAAGCTACTAAGGGAAAGAAAGCATGTTAATAATTGGAAAGTTGAACTCATTACAGGCAAAGTTTCTAAAGAAGAGCACTGGATTTGTATTGTAGTGAGTTAGTTATTCATGCTTAGCACTGCTGTAAGTCCAGTGAGTGACCTTTAGCAAATCACTTCCCTTCTGTTCGCCTGGATTTCATTTATGTATGAAAGAGACATCACACAGAATTGCTTCCAATAAATGCAAATATCAACTACTGAAGAATTACTACATGTAATTTATAAATTAGTCAACCTTTTTATAGGGGAAACAGTTTCTATCTATACCTTTTACTTGAAAGGACGAGAGAAAATTGAACAATTAAAAATTGCTGTAGACAGCAATTTGACAAAGCAGGTAAACACTTCAGAGTAGTAAGACACAGTAAGATACCTTTTTGTGAAAGCTGAAAGATTTTTTGGAAAGTATCCATGGCATGGGTACAATGAAAGCAACCTTTAATTCATCAAATTTCATGCCATGTCAATATACCTGCCATGCCATCAGCCATGGCAGCTATATGAAACAGAAACATTCATGCATGATTTCAGTCTGTGTTTGTACTAGGAGTTAAAAAGGTAAGGTTATTTACTGATTGAAAATAATTGGGACACAGAAGTGGAGTACACACACATACCTTGACTTGCCCAACTCTTTGCTTTGAATGTTCCAGCTGTTGCTGCAAAGAAGTCACTATGTCTTTATACCTCATATACCTCTCCTCAATCATCTCCCTTCGGCAATGGGACTCCTAGAAATTAATTTAAAGATTTAGATGATTTCATAATGTAAAAAGTAGCTAGAAGTTCTAACTATTGTAAACACAGATATCATCAAGGATTTTCACCACAGCAAGAACGAATTAAGAACTAACTTTCAGAGGCTGAACTACAGGCATCATACAAAAGCATAATGCTATGCACAGAAAAATAATGTTAAAATACATGCAGATCAAAATGAAAATGGCCTTATCCTTAATTGTCGAATGATTTCTTGTAACACTTTCCAAACTTCAGCAATAACATACCTTCTAAGAAAAATTCTGCAATGGTGGAAAATTAATTTCAACACTACGGAAACAAGCACTTGAAGAAAAAACAGTTCTAAGGATATGGCCAAAACAGTATTTTCAACAAGACAACATAATTCACTTGAATTAACAAACCTTCTAGACAACCCGGGAGGTTTACCAAAACTTACTTCCTCTTGCCTTCTCCCTTCCTATGAAAACATTGAAGGAAGACCTTGCTAGCTATTGTACAAAAAAATCCAATATGCTATTTGCAAACAGTAACAAAGCTCCAAACTGACACCCTTCTCAAAGCTAAGGCATAAAGCTTAGCCCTCTTGAATAATAAATTATTTCTTAAACAAAACACTGTGTTGGTAGGGGCTCATCTTCAGAAAACCATATTTAAAAAATTAAGCATGATGGAGAAGGACAAAGCCCGACTGAAACCAAAGATTTTGCATTCCAATCTCACGAATATTGGCTGTTATAACTACAGCAAACCAGAAAATTACAGTGTAATTTCAGAGCAGTGTTAAGTGTGAGAGGGCAAGCGTGAAGGAGATTGCAGATGCATGCTGAGAACAAAATTTTTCTTTTAGTAGAAACAGAAGGTAAACATAAACCTCTGTCAGAGCAAAAAAGCTCTTCTGGGGATACGTGGAATGTGAAATTAAAACTATACATCTCAACAATATTGTTCATAAAAAACCCAAATATTTTAACCGGTACTTGCATTACCAAATCTGTTGATGATGACAGCAATAAAATGGTGTAGAATTATTATCTGATGACCTCGTGCAGGAACACAAAATAAATAATGCTCCAAACAAGTATGCTTTGAAATATTTATGACAACCACAGGTTAAGAAATTTTACATATCAAATAAAATGCAAATCATTATGTATTTGTTGATCTGTGGTTTAATACTGATTTAAAATTTATTTTGTGCAAGGAAGCTACAGATTTTTTTCTATTAAACCACCCATCTCATAAATGGAAAGTAACTATGGTACAGGGGTTTAGCCACTTAGCCACTGAAAATCTAGCCTGAGCCTTATCACACTTGACAGTATGTCACTGCTACTGTCAATATACCCTACTGTGTCCAAACACATCTTGATTGGATAATGGTGCTGCAAAAATAAGTAACAAGTATTGTAATTATGTCAAAACAAAACAAAAAAGTTATAAAGATCATCTATTTCACTCATTAGGTTAAATATTGAAACAACTGGCATAATTCATTAAATTATAAAACTTTCATTTTTTAACATGTAATATCAGAATTTACCGCTCCATAAAAATATTCTGAAACAGTAATTAACACATGACCTGTTATGCCCAGTTATCATGTTTGCCTACATTATGGAGCAGTATTAATAATTAGAACTAAATTTATAACTTCAAAAAGATCCATATAAACATGAAAATAAATTTCAGTATGTTTCTGTCTATATAATACATACATATGCAACTGTAAATATCTTATTAAACAACTTATCTGTACATCATAGATATTATTAATTAACCAAAATATTTTAGAAGCACTGAGAGAGTCAAATGAAATCTTTCTCACCCCAGTATCTCTGCACTCTTCTAACAGGCTCAGTTTCTCAGGCACAGACTCCAGGTGGTTTAAAGCCACTCGGGTACTCTAAAGAACAGAACACAAGTTAAAACATTAAAAACAAAACCATTTTTTCAGCCATCTCACATATTACAAACCCCAGTCTTATTAGCATTATAGTTCAAGCTTCCTCAGTTAGGGTGTTGACTCTCCCTAAAGCTCAATCACAAGTAGCTGTGGGACTCACTGAAGCAGCCATGCCAGAGGCCCCAGCCAGCCATCCAGACCTGCTGATGGGAGATGGAGCTCTCCAGATCAGAGGCTGCCACATGTGCCTGGTACCTCTTCATGAGGCTGGGGCTCACCATTCTTTTGCAGAAGGTGAGCTGTGCTTAAGGAGCTGATCGCCAGCTACAGGAGGAAGTGAACAGGCTACATACTGTTTGAGCAAACAAGCAAAAGACAAACTGTTATTTTCAGTGTCTCACAGTCTCAAGACTCTCAGGAGTCATGAACCTCCTCTATAGTGGAGAAGCAGATGCACTCAGAACCCTGCAGGGTAATTAGTCAAAGGACTGTTAGCCAAAGATCTGTTAGAAGGTGAAGGCTGGAAGCAGGTCACAGCATGTACGAGGAGGAAGGCTCCTCCACCTTCTCAGAATTTGACAGGCAGGACTGGCACCCTCTACAATACATGTGAGGCTCTGGAACCAGAAGGCCAGACTACTGATGAGGTGAGTGGAGTCCTTCTGGGATAGTGTGGCCTCCTAAAACAACACCACCTGTACTCTGCACCAAGACCTCTGTTAACAGGAAAATGAAGGGTAGTTGTAATAGGAAACACCCTTCTAAAGCAAATGGAGGGCCTCCTTATGCAGACTGGAGCCAGCTCACAGGGAAGTCTGCTGTCTCCAGGGACTAGAATAAGAGACATTACTGATATGGGAAGAACACAGAGTCACTGTACAGCTTGTCACTGCAGGGAGAAAATTCATGGAGCCAAAGCTCTACTGGAATTGAAGCTGGCCAGAAATGTGGAGGACAATAAAAAGAGTTTTTAAAAATATATTCATGGCAATAGGCAGTGCAAGAAAACCCTCATCCCTTTACAGGATGAGGATGGTCAAACAAGGACAGAGGCAATGGCATTTAATGCATTCTTTGGCTCTGTCTTCTAATAGAGGATGATCGACCAAGGGGATCACAGTGCACTGAGCAGAAGGACCACGACTGTGAGATGATCAACTCCCAGTCGACCCTGAACTTGTGTGGGATTTGCTGCTTCAGTTGCATCCCTACAAGTCTATGGGGCATGAAGGCATTCATTCAAGATTTCTTCAAGAGCCAGTTGATGTCATCACAAAACCTCTCTTGATATTTTTTGAGTGGTCTTGGGAATCCAGAGCAGTTCCAGATTACTGGAAGCTGGCGAACCTTGTCACAGTTTTAAAGAAGGGCAAGAAAGAGGAACCTCAGGAATTACAGGACTGTCAGTTTCCCTTTACTGCCTGGTAAAGTTATGGAATAGATTATGCTAGGAGGTAATGAAAAACACCTGAGAGACAACATCATCATTGCTCACAGCTGTCTTCATTTCATGACAGGAAAGTCTTCTTATTATCAAACCTGATTTCCTTTTATGACCCCCTTGAGTCCTGTGTGCAGTTTTGGTTACCACACACACATATGGTATGTACTACTGAAAAATTAGGCATACCATATTAGGCATATGGTATGTACTACTGAATTACCACTCTAGGAAGAGTTAGGTTTGGCCTTAACATTAAGATTTCACATTCACACCCACCAGACAAAAAATGCAGCCTATTGCAAACTGCAAAGAACTGAAGAAGATAAATATAATGGTTTTGGTTTTGTGTGCAGAGGAAGTTGGTTATCATGCACAAAGAACAGTCATGTCCCACAGGTCAGATGCCTCTGCATCTTCTCAAAGGCTGCCCTTCTATTATTTGCCAAAGAGCACGTAAAACCAGAACTGTTTGTACTTTCTGAACAACAGTTAGTATTTCCTCCATAATTCTCAAAATCACATTTCTATTGATAAGGTTCTGCTAGTCTGGTATTCAGTCTACCAGTAATGGGCTTCATTAATCATATTACTGCCTTGGTACTTTAAAGCAAAATCTTAAAACAAATAAAATCCATCAATCCTGAAATCTAATATTATGCTGTAAGGCCTGTGCAAACCAAGTTAACTTGCTCTTAACTACAAAAGCTCTGTTACTAGTTCTGGAAAATCTCAGTCTGACCACCATGAAAAACATTCCATTTAGATCCCAGAGACTAAAAGTTTCAGCCACAACAGGAGAAGAAAACTCAATGGGAGCTTCTCTGCACAAGTGGCATCAACTTTAAAAAGATGGAGGCTAGGAGTGAGGAGTGTACAATCAGAAATGAACAAGATAACCTAAATGAAGACACACCATCTGTTTAAAAGCAGTGATGTCAACCTCATTGTTAGTTCCTAACATTCTGGTTTTTAGGTTTTAAGAAATACTCATAACAAAAAAAGGTCAAATTTTATAAACAATGGGATTCATTTGCAGCTAACTTGGACTGAACTTGTAGTCAATATTCAGTACCAATAAACTAAATTAGATAGAGAATATGAGACTCGTTCTTTTGTTTCTGCAATTACATGTATGCAAAGATATGTATATAGATATCTATCTATCCATTTACCCACCTTGTTTTAATACAGATGACCTCTGATCTGTTCTCATAAAAAAGAACTCAGGCCCTAGGTGTAAGCCTATGCCTTAAGCCATTAATTTTTCAATTCCTTCTCTAATTTCAATGCCAAGACCTCATGTCAACATTGTCTGTAAATGAATTTAAGGAAGATGTTAATCGTCTGTTCTTCCAAAGTGTCTCCTAAATATATCCCCTGTATTTAATGCACTTTTTTGTAGTGGAAAAAAAATTAGCTGTTTCTCTGCTAATCCTTATTAGTTATGTCATTAAATATAATCCTGAAAGCAAAAGAAGACCAGCCTTTGGGTTAGATGCATGTTCAGCCTTTGGTTTTTTGGTTTTGTTAAGAATCATGTGGATAAAGAATGGTACAAGCTACTTGGATTTCTGAAAGGTGTTTTACACTCCTAAAGTTTAAATCTAACTTCACATTCAAAATGATGGGCTCTAAGGTAACCATTGCTGCTCAGGAAGCAGATCATGGGTAGTGATGCATATTACCAAGAATCTGCTAATGCAGTGCTCAGTATCAATCAGAAAACCAAAATCAACACTCAATATAATCAGGAAAGGATAAAAAAAGCCAGAAAACATAACTGTCCCAAATCATTAATCCAATTGCATCTTGACTGCTGAGTGCAGATGTAGATTTTTATTTCAAAAGGGAAAAAGGGAAAGGTCAGAGAAGTTGAACAAGAATTTTCAAAGCCATGGCGTCCTGTCTCCAAGTGAGAAATTATAAACACAATACTCTAAAGAATAGGACTCTTCAGCCAGTAAGAGAGATGCCTGCGAAGACTAATTACCAATTTGTGTAAAATCAGAAGTCACATAAAGATAGAAAATTTTATATGGCTTTAAGCAGAAAACTGGGCAAGTTCATCAATGAGGAAGACCATAGAATGGTTCCAAATTCACAGAAACTACATTAAGTCTGGAAGCCTTTGAACTTTGAACAGCTGGAATCAGAATGAATGAATGGGAAACAAAATACATGTTAGTCCTACTCATACAGTCTTCCCTGAGGATTTTACATGGGCCATTGTTGCAATGTCAATAGCTGGGCTAGATTGACCTTTGGTCTTGACCAGAACGGTTCTTTTTATATTGTAAAATTCTCACAGTCTTCTGAGCAGTCTTGAGGGACTTGAATAGGATAACTCACACACTAACATTTTCAGGGACAGAAATGTGTCTTTTCCATAAAACAAATGAAAATAAAATAAAATAATAACGTGCAAATAAAAACAGAAAAAAAGCAACTTTTGTTGTTAGGAGAGGTTCAGTAAGGAAGGTGGCAACGAAGAAATACATTGAAGGATGTGAGGGAAAGATGATGAAAGAGCTTTTAGCTGGACCATAGAAGTGGCCTGGTAATTATTGAAAATCACAGCAACCTCCTCAAGATGGTTCAAATGCCATACTTGTATCATTAATGACTACACTCTATTCTATTAAAAAGACAGATTTAGCCACAGATAAAACATGGACAAGGATGCTAGAAACACCTGATATAGAGGCCAATTAAGTACTGTTAAATTTTTTCCCAGAAATCAGAGAGCTGTATGCCATAATGCATAAAAATAATCCTAAAGACAGCAATCACATCTGTCTACTTCTGTATAATAAGCAACAGAAGGTACTTACCCAGTGCACTGATGGTACTGATAAGAGGAAAAACACCCATTGTACTGAGGCAGTATTAATGGAATTTTACTTAACAGCAGTGCTCTTCGATAGACTGAGTGCTACTAATCTTTCTGTTTTTAAAATAAAGACTATTTACTTTTAAAAGGGCATTCTATTTTTCACAGAGAATGACAAAACAAATTACTTATTTTCCATGACTTCATACAAACACTTTGATGTTTAAACTGCATGTGAACAGTTAAACCTCCTATACTGATGTGTTCTTGGTAATAGACGGTTTCACACTGTCTCAAGGGACAGATCTAAACCAAAATCAGACACATTTTATTTTTAGTCTCAAAGCTGCAATGCTAAATGCAAATAAATCAAAGCAGGTTTGTATATAGTACTCCTGAGGTTTGCCTTTATAGTCAATATATTGAAAACAGATAAACATAAACCAGAAACCAAACTTCATTGACTTTCAAGTACAGTGCTCCTTTCTTTTCTGAAGTAGGTAAAAACAAATGGCTATCTGTAGTGCACAGATATTTTTCTTAAAATAAGAGTTGATTTAAGTACCAGTTAGCTAATCCCCAAAGAATAACCATAAAAAGATTAAATGCAACATCATTTTAACTGGCTGCAATGCATGTCAGCAGGCAGTTACAATTCAAACAAAAAATACAGTGTTAGAGGTGACCTAAAATGACTTATTTTTAAATGACCTTAATGTATTGAAT